CTAATATTATTCCTTCTGATTATTAGCTGGTATTGTTCTGGAAAGAATAGCATTTGTTCTTCCTCCCTCCTATCTGCATCTCTCTCTGTCTCTCTCCCTCGTCCTCTCTCTAGTCAGTGCTCTTGACTAAAAGAATTCACAAAGCTTCACTGAGTTGCTCCCTTGGCTTCCTTTATGACAAATGACACGGAGCGGGTGGTAGTGAAGGTGTCCCAATTCTATCATTGCTCATAATAACATAGATATGTGGGCACTGCTTCAAATTGAATTCAGGTTTTCCCTCCTGTTGGGCCAGAGCTTCCTTGTTGACACTTAAAGCAGGTCACAGATGTACAAAGTGGTGTTTGACAGAGGGGAAGGACAATGACCATGAGCTTCATTGGGTCTTGCATGCCAACCACCAACTGTACTACCTTCCCTAGCCTGTTCCCACTCTCCCTCTTCTGGTGACTACTTCTCGCCTTCCACTCTCTCTTCCAACCTTCACCCCACCTCAGCTGTCTTCACTCTTAGCTAACAACCTTGTTTCCTAATTCTTGAATCAGAAGAAAGCAATTAGAAGACACTCCATGTTGACTGGCCACTACAGTTCCCTGCTGCCAGGGTCTCCACCATGTGCTCGCTTTCCCTCCCGTTAGCACAGGTAAGCTCTCCGTGCTGCTCCCCAAGATCTGCCTGCTAGACCCCGCCCCTTTTCAGCCACCCCAGGAATGCTCTCCTTTCTCTCCTGCATCATCACAGACATTATTTTAATTCTAGACTCATACATTTTCATCAGCAAACAGCTGTTGTTATTATTTTTCCCAACTCAAGAAAACTCTTCTCTTGACACTATTTTCCTGGCCACCAACCAGCGCTTTATTCTGAGGCAGAACGCCTCAAAACAATGATCCACATATGTCTCCACATTTTCTCTTCCCTTTCCCTCTTAAATTCATTGTAATTTGGGTTTTCCTCCCTCATGCCTCTACGGAAACTGCTCTTGTAAGATCGCCAATGACCTTCCCATGTCTAAATGGAATAGTTTCAAGCTCCTCACTTCACCTGTCCGCCACCTTTGACCCAGTTGATGACTCCCTCTTCCCCAATTTGCTTTCTTCACTTGGTTTTCAGAACATCTCACCCTCTCTCGACTCATCTTGGCTATGTGAACTCTACACAACCGAACCTGAGGCCTCATTTCCTCCCCAGTCTGCTTCACCTGTTCTTTCCCATCTCAGGTGAGCTAATTTTACTCTTCAGTACAAAAACTTTGGAGTCTTCCATGCCTCTTTTTCCTCTTACTTCACATCTGATTCAAAGGTAAATTGTGTCTGCCCCACCTTTAAGATACATCCAGGATCTAACTACTTCTCAGAAATTTCATTTCTACCTGGTGTAGGGCCTCGTTTTTCTACCTGGCTGCCTTACTGGTTTCCCTAGTGCCTCCTAGTCCTCCTCCCATCTAATCTCAGGGTTTGCTGCGTCCTGAATCGAATCCACCACATTCCCCACTCCTGCCCTTTCCTCTCCCACCTTCATTTCTCTATGGTCGCCTTTCATCATCCTGACCTCCCTGGTGTTTCTTGAATGTGTGGCATGCTCCCACCTCTGGCCTTTGTACGGTCTCTTTCATCTGCTAGAATAGTCATCGCCTTTAACTAACTTCCTCACTTCCTTCTCATATTTCTCAGTTATCACCTTCAATGGGACCTCTTCTGACCAATTCTATTTTAAATTGCCATCCTTCCATCTCACCTGCACTCCTGATTGCCTTTACTCAGCTCTACTTTATAAAATACTACATAGTGGGGTCAGCCGAGTGGCTCAGTTGGTTAAGAGATCACTCAAGAGTGTGAGCTCTGAGCAACAGGGTCGCTGGTTCAAATCACGGCCCGAGCTGAGCTGCCACTGAGCTGCCAACAGGTGGCAGGATGGCTCAGCTAAAGTAAATAAATAAAATACTACATAATGTATCTATGTTTTAGGTCAATGGTTTATTGTGTATTTCCCCCAGGAGAACATAAGCTCTACAAGGATAGGGTCTTTTTCATTTTTGTTCACCCATGTATGCCAGGTGACCAGAACACTAAACTCTCCACAAATTTTGAGTTGCATAACTGAATGAAAGAAATTAGTCCCCCCACCCCCATTTCTCATTAAGCAGTTTTAATCAATTTTAGAAGGAGTAGTGTTTAGGAAATTTGTACTTGATAAATTAGATGAAAACCAATTTCTTATAAAACAATTTATACTTTAAATGTCCTGGGAAAACAAAATTTGCATTTAATTTATATTTTTAAAACATCCATGCACATGCACAGTTTTACAAGTAAAATATTGGGTTGTCAGAAAAGTCATGAAGTATTTTGTCTATGTTTTTCAAAGGTCATTTATTTATATTAAGAACAAAGATCAATCAATGATATATTGCCCGTTTTGTTCGATAACCTTTTGCCATCTTTCAGTGAGTTTCATAATTCCTCGTTCATAGAAGGACCTGTCTTTATTTGCGAAAAACTGAACAAGGTGCTGATTTACATCCTCATCTGAATTGAACGTTATATCATGCAAGGAGTTTTGAAGAGAGTGAAACAAGTGGAAGTCTGACGGCGCAAGATCAGGAGAGTATGGTGGGTGTGGCAACACATACTATCCAAGCTCCGATAATTTTTGATGGGTGATTAAATTTGTATGTGGTCTCGTGTTGTTGCGATGGAATACAACTCCTTTATAATTAACAAGCTCTGGATGTTGCTGGATGATAGATTCATTCAAACTGTCCAATTGCCAACAGTACACATTCCAATTGATTGTTTGGTTCCTTGGTAGGAGCTCGAAAAACACAACACCTTTAAAATCCCACCACACTGAGAGTATAACCTTCCTCTGATGAATGTCTGCTTTCTATGTTGTTTGAGGCAAATCATCACGTCACAACCATGACCGTTTGTGCACCACATTGTTGTAAGCAATCCACTTCTCATCACCAGTTATCAGTCACTTCAAGAAAAGATCATTTTCCTCACGTTTAATGAGCATATTGCAGAAGTTTATATGTGCCATCAAATGAACTTCTTTGAGTGCATGCGGAACCCAAATATCGAGCTTGCTTACCTATCCCAGCTTCTTCAGGTGGTTGTGAATGCTTGAATGATGGATGTTCAATGTTTCTGCAATCTCTTGTGTCGTGTAACTTGGGTTTGACTTGATCAATGCCTTTATTTTGTTGTCATCAACCCCAGTGGGACTCCCTGACCGAGGAGCGTTGTTGAGATTAAAATCACCAGCACAGAATTTCATGAACCATCGTTGGCACTGACGTTCTTGTACAGCATTGTCACCGTAAACTTTATGCAACTTTTCACAAGCTTGACACATGTTCTTCCCTTTATGGAAGTAAAACAGTAAAATATGGCAAAAATGCACAGTTTGGTCTTCTATCTTCAACTTGTAAAATCTCCAAAACTCAACCAAATTGCTCATTTTTTTTTAGAATGAAGCTAGAACTGTCAGCTGTCAAATGACATAGCAATAACATAGATGCGAATGACTCTAGTACTTCCAAAAATGAACTAGTACCATCTGTTGCAAACATGCATTATGACTTTTCTGACAACCCAATAGTTACATTGCTTAAAATGAAAACCAGCATACCTCTGCCCTACCCCTTCCCAATCTTGATTTTTTAGTCTTAAGACAAAAGCATTTTTACCTATTTTAGCTGATTGGGAAACCAATTAATAATTACTCCAGGACTACAAGCATAAATTAGAACTATCTAGGGCAGCCAGGATGAAGTCACCTCATTCCCAGTGGATTTCTGCTACCTGGATTGTGACATTCTTCTATTTTCTCAAGTGTCTCTAGTGGATAGTCACACTTCTATGACTCTTTCCCTATATATTCTTTAGTCATTTCATAAGGAGAACAGAAAAAGAGAAAAATGTGTTTCAGTCATTTGAAATATCATAGGCATTTAAAAATAAATGTTTGTTGAGTGCATAATGCATAAACAAATAAAATACAATGTAATCGACAAAATTCTTTTCTGTGGCGATAGAGATGATCTCTCTTAGTTTGCAGAGAATAACAAAAGAAAGTAAAGAAGAAAGAAAGAGAACAATTACTCACTGGGAAAATGTGGCTCATTTAACTTTGTTCTGAATTTGTGTGGCTCTTGATCCTGTATCTCATAAAAAGCAATGCTTAGCCAGCCAAGAAGTCACCAAGAGTCTATTTCTAGATGTTTAAAGAGAAACAATCTCCAGAAGGTTATTGACCGTTAATACACTTTACAATTGGGGGAGATTTTTATTTTCTTTTTTCATTTCCTGTCTCTTATGTTCTCAAATTGAGGCAATTTCTTGGCCAAAATAGCACGTTTTTGCACGATCTGCCTCCTGCCATTTATCAAAACTTTGTCTTGACCCTTTTCAGTTAATCAAAACCAGGAGGCAAAATTTCAGAAAAGGACAGAGCTATATTTTTCACATGAAGAGTAGTGATTCCGTCTGTGTGTGTGTGTGTGTGTGTGTGTGTGTGTGAGACAGAGGTGGTATTGGTGTTAAGACACGAAGAAAAGCATGGATTTTGATCAGTGAGGTGAGGAGTAAAGGACTTGTAAAGAAATGCCAGTGTAGGCATCAATTCGTACTCTTGAAAGCATAATATGATGGAGCGCAATTAATAGATACTTATTCTAGGATCCTTGATAACAATAACAAAGTTGATCAACTGCAAACAATTGTTTTATTAATATTATTGAACTTATTTTGTTTTTCACTGAGTATGAGGAGATGAATTTAAGGTTTCCTTTTGTGGTTTCCAAAAAAGAAAGCAATTTGGCATTGATAGTGTCCCCTAAGGGCAAATAAATCATGTTGTGACATGAACCTGGTTTCCTTCTTGTCAATAGTGATTACTATCTGTCAGCCAGGTCAGCCTGATTTATCTGCATGAGAAGTTTCATAACCAGCAGCTGTCACCATGATAACCACTGAAGCACACTCACATTCTTTTGGCTTGGATAATTTGGAGAACCAATGGTCATTTTACTATGGGAAAATGGAGTGCCATCTTCCTTCTGGAGAATCTTTGATGGGTAGGTGGGACAGAGGGAAAATGATGATAGCTAACTTTTATTTATTTTTTACAAATTTTATTGGGCAACAGTGTGTTTTTCCCAAGACCCATCAGTTCCAAGTCAAGTCATTTTTTCAATCTAGTTGTGGAGGGCACATCTCAGGGGCCCATGTGGGAATCAAATCGGTAACCTTGGTGTTATGAGCCTGCGCTCTAACCACCTGAGCCAACCGACTGCCCCGATAGTTAACTTTTATTGAACATGTATTTTTCTACGAGGCACCACTGCAAGGATTTCACGTTCTTCCTTCCTTCCTTTCTTTCTTTCTTTCTTTCTTTCTTTCTTTCTTTCTTTCTTTCTTTCTTTCTTTCTTTCTTTCTTTCTTTCTTTCTTATCAGAACTCTGTCATTTTACAGAAGAAGAGATTAGGCTTAGAGAGACTAAATACCTTTCCCAAGGTCATATAGCTAATAAGTGGTAAAGGTGGGATTCAAATTTGGGTTTGTTTGGATTTAAAGACTGAGCTCCTAACCACTACCCCACACTACCTTTCTCCCCTACCTAGAAATTGCCATCTATATATCACTTTCTTTCTCTCATCCAAGGTGGAGCTAGTCCCCAAATCCTGTTACTCCCCCATTCTGTCTTAATCCACCTTGCCATTCCTATTGTCAAGACAACTCCTCGTCCCACATTGGAATCATCATATCACATTCCTGTAATGTCTGCCTTTGCAATCCCTTCTTTCAATCCATCTTGTACATCGTAGTCAGACGCATCTCCTTTCATTACTGTTTGTTTGTTTTTTTCAAAGATTTTTTATTGGGGAATTGGGGAATGGGAACAGTGCTGGGGAATTGGCAGAAGGGAAACAGACAAGTTGCTGTCCTTTTGTTCTTCAGTCTAGTTGTGGAGGATGTTGCTTCACTGGCCCAAGTTGGCACCATCGTTGCGCTCTTCC